GCTTCGTATCATCGGAATTCTGTTTTCTGATTGGTTAAAGAGCGTCGTACGACGCAAATCGGATGCAGTGTGAATCTAGAATTAGGTGGGATCCCGTTTGCCTACAATCCCGATTGCACACACCACTCATATCAGCTGATGCCTAGTAATTTTTTACTGCTTTACCAATAAGAATATTTTATTTTTCAATTGGCCAATTAGCGACACATGTGTACAATATGAAATGTGTGCAATCGGAGCCTTTCCAAATTTTGCATCGCAAATGCATCTCATGTAAAATTTTTAACCAATAGCAACGAATTGCTGTCGCAGCGTGCTGCGTACAAAAAGTCAGTTTAAGGTAAATTTTCATCCGACGCTAAAACGCTCGTTTTCAGTGTCAAAAGTATCACGTGACTACAATTGTTGCCAGCGACAACTGAAATCCAAAAGAATTTACAGCGTCGAATTTTGAGCAACAACTTAACTTATTATATATTTTGAATATTGTATTTATTTAATATTCATTATTCGTCGGTATATATCAGGTAAGCTTTTAAATTTTATTTCAACTTTATTGGCTGTAATTTTTCCATTTAAAGCATTTGCTACTTTTTGCCATAAATTTTTTGTAATTTTTATGTTGTGTAGTAATAATGGAAGTTTATAATTCCTAAAAAGCTCTCGTAACTGGACTTCTAAAATGAGAGTTTCTTCATCATCTTGGGGTGATCCCGATTGATAACGGCTCGATTGGTGGAGAGCGCAAAACGCCATTAATCCAACCCAGGTTGGTGCAAACCCGGCCGGGCCGAAAACGCTGTATGTCTTTGGTAACGGGGTGATCCCGATTGATAACGGCTCGATTGGACACCACCAATCACAGCGACCGGCTTAGGAGCTTTGTAGTCTCAAACGCTGTGAGTGGCTCGTGTCCAATTGAGCCGTGTCCAATTGGGTGCCACCCCTTTTCGTTCGATGTACAACATGCACCATTTTTTATTATTTCCCACGCTAATGAACAGGTTTTATAGCATCAAAAACATATCCATATTTCTGTAAAATTTGCACGAAAATTGATACTTTAAGGCACCGTCTACAATGGCTGGGCTCGGAAACGTCGCTCGGATACCTCCGATGTCTCGGATTCGTCATCTGTCCTTTAATATTAAATGTTAAACGAGGACAGATGATGAATCCGAGGCATTGGAGGCATCCGAGCGACGTTTCCGAACGCAGCCAATATACAGAGTAAGAAGTAAGAGTAAGAAATTGACCAATCACAGTTGAATGTGAGAAGAATAATCGACTGTGATTGGTCAATTTCTTACTCTTACTTTTTACTCCGTGGGGTCGATTCTGTATCTTCAAACAAGGTGAAAATCACAAAAGTGAACAAATTTACTAGGTATTGACCAATGAAATTATCAATATTCTAATAAATTCGCTCACTTTTGTAATTTTCACCTTGTTTGAAGATACAGAATCGGCCCCCGTGTATTATAGACGACGCCTTA